AGAGGAAAGGAAACTGGGCCAAAGGATTAGAGCAGAGGGAGGATTTAGTCGTAATAGGCTTTTATTAGGCTCTGAGTAGAGGTTGTCTGAGGTAGTCTGACCCAAAATGAATTCCTCCCACTGCTATTAGTTATAATTGAGGGCACAAGGTTCCCCTCTCTTCAGGTTTTCCCAATATTTGAAGAATCTTCACCCTGAGATGGAATTTTATATGATAAACACATTTACAGTAATAGACTCTTTGTATTTAATAGCAGCCAATTCAGAGCATTCTGAAGTGTATTCTAAAACAATGAGTTTTTCTACAGGAAAAAACAAAGAAACCAACGACAAGTTATATTTGAGATGGCTGACTTCTGTGTTGTGTTCTATAAGTGAAATATGCTTTAATCTTAAAAAGAATCCCTTTTACAACTGGAATTCGTCCAGAGATTTTGGTAGAATGGCCATTATCCTCCTGTGATGGTTATCTGATTACCCCTCCCCAGTTAGTGTAACAGTTGTAGTAAAGTATGTAAAATGATGACTTTTGAGCTGGGAGAGGTCTATGAAATAATCGTTTAGTCCTAACTCCTTCCCTAAGCGAGGTTCCAAACCAAGAGTCAGTCTCTCGCTGGTTAGAGCTGGAGCCGGAGCCCTGGGCCCTGTCTCTCAGATCAAAGCTTAAGTCCCCCGAGGAGGAGGTTAACTTTTCTGACTTCCATGTTTGGAGAACTGGTCTAAAAACTCTCAGCCCCAATGCTTTGTTCCCTACTTAAATCCATCTAAACTCTCTGACCATTTCCACAAACCAACCAGAGGAATATCAGGAGAAACAGAGAAGGAAAGATGGGAAGGGAGCCTTGCTGTGTCTTTCTTTCAAGTTCAAGATTTGGTGACTCACTATGAAAAGGCTTCTCTTTTATCTCTAGACCCCTCCTACCTGTGCTCTTGCCCTCATCTTTCTTCAGCTTCTTGCGCCATCAAAATCCTCTTTATTTTGTACCTTCAAATTATCCATGTTTGTTGATTTCTCCTCATTACACCTGCAAATATGATCGCTTTTCCCTTAATAAAAATGTTCCCTTGGCTGTGTCTCCTCTTAAGGTGGCCGCCCATTTCTTTCCCATCAGGAATTTTTTATGACCCATTATTAGAGGATATTATGTTTAAATACGTTAAAGACTTGAAGATATGATGAGATAATATAATGTGTGAGATAATATAGAATGAACTGCCAAAAAGTATACATTGTTAAGTTCAGTGTGATAGTGAAAGGGGGCTATATTAAAATACAATCATTGATAGTCCCAGGAAAAATATAATTTTTCACACATTTATAGTGTGTATTGTTTTGTAGTTTTTGAAAGAGTCTGAAATTAGAGAAGATGTCTGTCTATTTGGGAATGAGGTCGAAGGAATTTTTACATTAGAAAGAGATATGATCTAGATGACTGGAGTCTAAGCTTTCATGATTATACGGAATATTTTATAATTCTGTGATATGGAAGCATATGCTTTTGCTTTTTCCATAGTCAAATAAAAGAGATCCTATCCTTTTGGAAAAAAGCAAAGAAAAACACGTAATTCTTACATCAGTTGTCTTATCTTAAAAACAGTTAATAGACTTTTTCTTTCCTTATTGATGGAAAATATTTCTGCATATAATATTAACAAGATATATAAATGTGACTCCTCAGTAACGTCTTTGGGGAGAACACGGTCCTCAGTTCTGTCTGCAGCATAGAATGTGTGATAGCTCAGTCGTACTTGTATTTTGATAGCTCATCTCTTTCCCCGCAAGTCCAAAAACCTCAATAACTACACCACAATACCACACACAACCACTCTTGGAAAAGAGCCCTTTGGGTATTTTTGGTTGGTGGTGGTTTGTTTGAAGAAAGGAAAACATCACTCATTAGGGGCCAGATGATCTCTAGAGCCCTCTCCAGGTGTGGCATTCGAGTCGAAGTGCCATGTGTGTATTTATGGGATGAACAGGCTGCGTGTGTGCCAAGAACAGCAAGCTTTCCCTCGGCGGTCCCCAGCGTCGGATGCCCCCATCCAGAGACAGCAGAGGGCAGGAATGGGGACCGGCCAGCGATGGCTCGTGACACAGGCACACAGTCTAGCGCGCGCAGCCTCTCTTACCTGCGCACAGCCTTTTGCTTAGTTTTGTCCTTCTGTCTCCCTCACTTGGGACTTTCAGCTGTTGCCTGGGAGCTAAATAAAAAGCTTGGAATTAGAAAAAGAAAAGGTTAATAACAGGAAAATGCAGAAATACATTGAAAACGTTAGTGCTTGAGGCAATGCATCCTTACACATCACTTGTAAACATGGAGCTGTCTCTTCCTTGCAGTTTTTTTTTTTTTACTTTTTTTTAATTGAAGTATAGTCAGTTACAATGTTTCAGTTTCTGGTGTACAGCACAATGTCCCAGTCGTGCATATACATACATATGTTTGTTTTCATATTCTTTTTCATTAAAGGTTATTCCTTGCAGTTTTGTGTTGCCTGGGGACATGCCAGGGCTTTAACCCTCTACTCTGGGAGTGAGAGAGAGGCAGAGTGGAAATAGCCAGCTGGCCTATTGGGGATTAGGTGGTGTTTTCATCAGCAGGGTCTCCTGGCGTAGCCTTTCCCTTCCCACACAGGGCTTCCTGCACCTGCCTCATCCCCCTCCTTTCTCTCCCAAGTTTAGATTTTTCAGGCATCCGTATGAATGGGTTAAGCGTCAACCGAGTGAGATGTGCTCTTTTCAGAGAAGATTACCGAAGGGCCTAGGGCCAAGGAGTATAGCCAGGAGAAAGGAGAATATAGTTTTCTAGGAAGAGCGCTGGACTGGGAATCAAGAGACATTCTGTTTCCATCAAAACCACGTTGTAAGTTTACAGCCTGGCCTGCAATATTTATCCTGTCTGCGCTGCGGTCTCACTGTCTGAAAAGATTGCATGTGAAGTCCCTTTGAGAACTAACTCACAGGGATCTTAGAGAGCATGTCTCTATTTTTGATTCAGAGGCAATTGTCATGATTTATGTTCCCTTCATCCCTTTGAGGAAGAATCTCAGAATCCTGGAGCTGGAAGGAATCTCGGAGAGTCTTCTACATTTTCAACCTCCAGGATAAACCAGAACACTCTGATTTTCCTAGTTATTATCATGACGCCATCTGAATAAGAGACCTTGACATTTCCAAAAAAATACAGTGTTTAGGACAAGAAAGTTGAATCAGAGCTTGTTTTCTCTCTTAAAACAGAGTTGCATACTGGGTTATTGTCTATAAGGGCTACCTGCCAACCAGGGTGAGGTGAAGAGAGTGGCGGTAGGATTAGAGGGAGTGTGTGTGTGTGTGTGTGTGTGTGTGTGTGTGAGAGAGAGAGAGAGAGAGAGAGGTGAGAGAGAGAGACTGGGAGCACACATCCTGCATGCATGGGCGGTCACTCCTGATTTTTAGAGCACCAGATGGGCCTAGTGAAACATACCTCAGTGGCAGAGGGCCATGGTTAGCAGTAGACAATGTCTTATTGAAAGGAACACGTTTGTATTATTAAGAATTATACATTGGGGAGTTCACCAATTTATGTACTAAGACATAGTCTTGGAAGATACACGTGAGCTGTTCCCCTCAGGTGTGTGTTTTGTGCAGTCCTTCTAACAGGCCTTAATTTTTTCTACATATCTTAATCCTCCTGCATTCTCCTTAAGAATGTTTCTCTCCTCAAAATTATTCATTCTTACCAGTTTTCTATTCTTATTGTCCTAAAATTTATTTTAAAGATCCTTCAGTGTTGATTGGTTAGCCTTCTACCCCATTCCCCGAACAGAAGTACTGACTTTGAATATTCCTTTAGCTGTTTCCCAGTGTTTAATTCCACTTCCACAAAGAACATGACCCAGATGTCTAACATGAATCGTCCCCTTAAGTCCCCTTTCTCACATTTTATTGTTCGTAGGAGGAAGAGCTGATCAGTGTTCTCCCTGTAACGTCCTTTATATTACTCAGTTGAAAATAGCCTCTTTATTTTAATTATTTTTTAATCTTTTGGCACTGCAGGTCTAGAAATTTTATCATGGGTTTTGTTTCCTAGTGCTCTGGTAATGATGTTCTGATTACTTTTCTCTGAACTCTCTCAAGTCTGTACACTAAAAAAATATATAGTGTTTTGAGCCATACCCAGTCCTTTTCTGAACTGATGAAACCAGTGGGATGATACTGCTGTCTTAACTGTTCTTGTTAGTGACTTACCACCACAAGACTGGATCACATTCCCTGCACACTCTGTGACCTCAGTATCCTTTTTCTCCCCACTGGCTCTGTTGTAGTCAGGTTTTCTTCTTATTTTATCCACATACCTCATTTTTCATGTATAAACGTGCTGCTACCTTGTTTTCACACCAAGGAAGCACTATCTTGTTTTTGATAGATCATTTATATATGATTTGTCAAGGTTACTAGGAATTCTATTATCTTTCAGGAAAGCTAGGAGCCTTAACTTAGTTTGTAGCCCCAAAGTGACTGAGAATGCTTTTAATTCCATTATGACAGTCATTAATTAAAAAAAATTTACTATTATTGGACCCAGGAGTCTGGGTGCTGTGTTAAAACTCCCCTACGTCACATCAAGCTGTTGATTTCTGTCACTATTAACGAATGGTTTTCCTATTTCTGGGTGTTTTTAAATTCCATCAACATTGATCTCATAGCTTATTGTTTATCAAAACTAGATCTGAATGATTTAGAATAATAATCTAGGGGGCTGTGGTTGGTAGTGGAGAGAATCCAGCCAACAATTGCTTACTTTATGCATGTAGCTTTTGCAGCATCATTATTTTATATTTTTAGAAGAAAAGTGAGAGAAAATAGAAGAAAGCCTTTAGATTGAGTATAAATGTCTATTTTGTAGATATTTTGTTCAGTGTTGGACTTTGAGAATGTCTGTACTTTGATTTTGATTTAATAGTCCATATCCTATTTAATACACAAACATAATTAGATACATCTTTTGTTACTGTCATTACAGGTTTTGGAAGGTGACAATGAAATGTGAAGAAGTTACATTTCTACTGTGATACTTGAAAGTTAGTGACCGCTTACCAAATTTTCGTGAAAATTAAATATGACTTAGAAGCACTTGGCTTATGAAGGCTTATGATGTCATCGGTTGCGACAGAAGGCAAACTCCAGCAGGCTGTGAGCCTGCAGGGAGTTGACCCAGAAACGTGCATGATTGTATTTAAAAACCACTGGACGCAGGTAAAGTATGAGTTCCACCTTCTCTGCTGGTTAGGGAGCCCTCGGGGTCTCTGTTGCACTGAACCCGGGTTCCCCACCTGCGTGACAGGTAACTCGGCTTCTGGAAATATAGGAAGGAAAACCCTTTCAGGTAGGAAGAAAAGCACATTTCTTTACTTGCTTTCCTAGAATAGGTAGTTGGTTAAAACCCTTGGTTTTCACAAGAGCAATTAGGGAACATGCAAGTTCCTCAGATATTTTTAGCAGAATAGCAGTTAGCTGTCAAGTGCCTTGTAAACTCACTTTGCAATATACTTGATCATGATCACATCCTCTCTTTCCTTTCTCCCTGCTGATTTCCATTCAGTCCCTGGACTCTAACAATACTAAAATACATATTTATTAAATGTTTACCATGTGTTTTGCTGAATACTTCAAATGCCTTATATCATTTAACCTTCTCCCCAAACCCACAAGGCAGTTACTTTTAGCTTCCTGATTGTACAGACGAGGAAGTGGAGAATTGTAGAGGTTAAATAACTTGCCTGAGATTATACAACTGGTGAGCTTCTAATCAAGTACGTAGACCCTGGTCCTGTGACTTCAAGACCAGTGTATTTGACCTCTGTGCTCTACCATTTTCCGGGCTGGTGGTCCCTTTGTGTAATTTAAGGAAAGAAGATGCCTGAAAGGATCTGAATTCATTACAAAGCTGATTATAAAAGCTTTTTTTTTTTTTGGTTATTCATTTTGACTTCTCTATGACTCTCCTCTGATCTGTTTGTATAGATAATTAAGGGTAGAATGTTCAGGAAATTTACCAGCTCACCCCTTTCCTCAGGGAGTTTACAAGCAGTAAAATAAATAAAATTGAGATTCTTTACTACTTGTCCAACATTACACTCCCCAGGTGAGCTGGTAAGTGGCTATTTATGTGACAGTTTTTTAATGGCTACCCAGTGCCTTCCTGTGGCCGGAAACAGCACATGGGTTAAAGCACTGAGCCTGTAAGTCACAGCAATTATAGGGGACACAGTTTAGATCAAAAACAAAATCAGTTCTCTCTTTGGGTCATTTATACTTTGCAGCTTCTTGTCATTATCCAGTGTAAAGATTCTAAGATTTTTTTATGCATTTCCCACTTTCTGATTTTTTTACTGTTGTAATCATAATGAGTTTGCTCTGGATATTGAGAACACATCTTCTTTAGCAAAAGGAAGAAAGTAATTCAGGAGTTTTCCAGATAATTAGAGTAATTACCTTCGGCTTCACACTTTAGCTGATACATGGCCCCCTCCATTTAATGCAGAGGAATATTGAGTTGAGGATAAGGATGTTTGTCAGAGGAAATGGGGTTTAGTTATTAAACACTTCCTCTTTAAAGTGGGTACCCTCTTGGTCTTACTGTTGTCTCAGCCATTTCTTTGGCCAAGTTTCTTACCTCTTTAGTCTTGACTTTTCCTTTTAGATAAATCTAGAAAATGCCCCTAGTCTCTCTCAATTTCCAAAGGCTCTTGAGGGCTTTTCTGTTTACCTTTGTGAATAAAAATACTGATTGAAGAAATTCATGTGGATGTCATAGTTATTACAGTCATCCCTTGATATCCGTGGGAGATTGGTTCCAGGACACCAGCAGATACCAAAATCTGAAGATGCTCAAGTCCCTTATATAAAATTATATTTGCATATAACCTACACACATCCACACATCCTCCAGATCATCTTTAGATTACTTATAATACCTAATACAGTGTAAATGCTTTGTAAATAGTTGTCAGTGTGCAACAAATTCAAGTTACACTTTTTGGAAACTTTCTGGAATTTTTTCCTGAATATTTTCGATCCGAGATTGGTTGAATTTGCAGATGTAGAATGCAAGGATACAGAGGGCTGACTGAATTGTTGAATGGAGATTTACTGAGCCCAAACTTCAGCTACATCATTGTGGGCATCACGTGTAGGACATAGAAATGTATAAGCCTTGGCCTGGGCTTTTAAGGAATGTATAAGCTAATTTGGAAGACAGTGTGAAATACATTGTTATAAAATGAGTAATACTGATTATGGGAATTAAGTCAAGGAAAGGGACTATTATGGATGGAGAATGGCCTGTGAAATGGAGGAAGTGAGATTTTGTGAGCTTGCCTGTGGGAAAAGAAGGGTTTGATGACAGAAAGGAAAAGAATGTCTTAGAGAAGGGCTATTGGGAACGAATGCTCAGCTTTGGCTTTTTTGGGTGGTTAAAAAAAAAAGGTGAAGTCAGGGCAGGGCAGAGATATGGGACTGAGTATGAGACCTTCAGTTGAAGGGAATACATGTTACCTATTCACTGTTTTGGGGGCTTCATATAGTAGCATTTTGCTGTGAGTTTATTCAGACCAGGAGCCAGTGGAGAGCAGTTGCTGAGGACTGGGAAATGAGCGAAAATCTGACATAAACTCCTGTGGCTAGTCTGACTGTAGCCCCTGGGGTTCCCCTGAGGCAGCCCAAGAAAACCTGTAAGGCTGGTAAAAAAAAGGTGGCATAGACAGAATTGGGTATTTCCATTGGCTGGCAAGCATGATGCTGTTTCAAATGCTGAGTTAGGGAAAAGAAGGCAACAAAGGTCAGTGGTATCCAGAGTTCTGTTTGTTAGGATGCTTCAGTACAAATTTCAGCATAATTAACATGTTTGACAGGTTCCGTTCTACTGTTTACTAGTGGCTTCTATTCCAGACCTTGAGTGGAAGTCAGGGTATCCACTTGTCCACCCACACTTTGCAGTCAGTCAGGGACACCTAGTTATACAACCAACCATCATCCAAGGCGGTTCACGTTTCAGGGGGGTCACTGGGGAGAGACGTTGAGTGGCCCAATGGTGCACTTGAGTTTCCAGACTGGTCCCTGAGTCCAGGGCTCTCATGACATCCTCAGAATAGTTCTATTGTGGACATCCAGGAAGAGTTGCCTTCCTAATAGTGATACTGGAGAATCCAGGCTGTTGGAAGTAGCCTCTGGCCCATGCTTCCTCTCATCTTCTGAGATGCCATCTTGTGCCAGAGCAGTGAACCTACATCCCGGATCTGCCTGGGGCGTTCCGGTGTTTGGACATTTCAGTGGCATCTGGCCACCTACAGGCCAAGTTGGCTTGTATGTCCTGGCCTTTTTCACTCCTCATTTAATCTCCAGAAATGCAAAATTACTTGGAGTTCCTGGCCACCCCCTCTCCCGGCCACACCTGTCATGCAATTAAATGCCTCTCTGCCTCAGGCACTTCCTCTTCTTTCAGCCTGGACTATCCCTCTGCCTGGCTAATGGCTCTCCTGCCACAGGACTCATCTGTGGCATTATTTCCTCCAAGAAACCTTCTCTGCCCCCTTTTATACCACAACTCTGGGCTCCAGCAGCATCTTGTGTGTCCTTTCACTGTTACAATAGCCACCTTTTGTTAAAATTACATGTATGGGTATCTTCCTCCCAGTCTCATTACAAGCTCCTCACGATCAGAGACCATTTACCTGTAGGTCACCAAATCTCCAGTACCAAGAGTATTGTAGGCATATTGTAGACGTTCAAGAAATTGTCGAACTGAAAGGCAGGAAATGTGACGTATCACTTTAGAAAAGGTAAGAGCCTAGGAAAACAGAATTGAACATACGCTAATATTAAAACGTTCTATAATTTGCTACCAGTAAGATCTTTAGACTTGCATTTAATGATCAGTGGTCTGGAGAAGAGAGACAGAGTATGTGTGTTTAATTTTTATAGCAGTCTGTAAGAACAGTTTGTCGTCTAGTGGACTGTTTTTATTTCTTGCCTTTGCTTCTTCTGAATGAAAGAGAGAGCAAGAAATACGAAGCATTGGTCCAGCAGATAATGAACTATCCAACTATATTACCATGTCAGTTACACCCCATCCGCCCCGCCACACACACACTAGTTATTCTTAATGACACGTTCGTACTTTGTGGTGCTTCTTGGCCCTTGCTCTGTCCAGTCTCTATTCTCTCCTTTCATGTATTGAATCAATATTAGTTATATACTAAATGATGTCTGCTCTTAAAGCCAGGAGAACAAAGGTAAAAAAAAAATCAAATGGACATGCACATCTCTGTATACTTCTTAATAGTGCAAACTTCTTACCACCCTCAGCCTCCAAAAAATAGGCTGTTATACAATTTTTTAAGCTAAGAACATTTCAGAGCTCAGATAATGTAATGGTGATGGATAAAGAAATGCTAGTGGATTTAGTAGCCTTTTTCTTCTTGGAGGAGACAGGGATGGGAAAAAGATGGAATCATCTAGATTAATTAATTCAGTCAGATGTCTTCCCATAAATAGTGAAAAGCAGATGATATGTTTTAAGTGTGGTAACTTGTATAGAGCTCCGAGTAGCCAAGCTCCATTAAAGAAGCCTAGAGCTCTTATACAGGGATTTGAGATTATCATTCTAACCTGTTTCCTGTGAAACTCATTCTTTTGCTCTGTCCAGGTTCACTCTTTTGGTCTGTGCCTTGTCATAGACTAAATGACAGAGAGAAATTACGTGAAGTCTCTGAGATATGAAAGCTTGGAAAGTAGTAGAGAACTCTGATTAATCTTCTCAATATCTTAATAAAGTGATGTTAATAGTGTGACATTTAAAAAATTTGTCACTCTTCTCAACTTTCCAGGTAGCTCCCAACTTGACAGTAGAAAGTAAAGCAGAATGAGAGCTGTGCTCCTTTAGAGGACCAGGGCGTCAGCTTGTGCCTCTGTTAAGACTCTCAAGTGGTCGGACGTGTTGAAACGTCAGCAACTCTCCCACCACAGGCTCGGTGATGAGTCTGTTTTTGCTGTGGTTGGAATTACTGTGTTCTCTGGAATATTATTACATAGATCATTACTCTTAAATCTTTTCTCTAATACTTAAATAAAAAATATATATATATATACACACACACACAAACCTAAATTAAGGGTTAGTTTACTGTGCTATTTTATTGACTGATGCTCCCACCGTGCTTCTGTATTCCAGTAATTACTAGACTACTTTGGTCCCAAGGAGATAAGGCTTGTAGGTAGAGCTTCCGTGTTATTCTAATTCCAGATTTAGATACATCTCTGGAGGTCAGGACTGGAGTTGACATTAACCAGCTTGTGCAAGTACACATATGTTATAAGGCTGTTATCTTAATGTAAAAAGAAATGACTCCATAAAGGTCTGCCATGGGAATAGGTGTGTAAGAAATACCCGAAATTGAAAGACACATTAAGTAACAAGGAGTGGTTGGAAACTTACTTTTGTTGTAGTTCATTTGGTACATTAAGTGGAATTTGGCTTAGGATCACTAAATCTTGTCCTCCTTCTGTGTGATGGAAAACGTTGCTTAGTAACTTGGGTTTTTCCACCCTGCCACTAAAAATCAGCATTCCAAAGGATTTGAAAGTTCTGGGCTGCACTCATGCGACTTTCTTGAAATAACGAGGCTCTAACCGAAGAAGCGCAAATAGTCATCTGTTGATAACTGCCTATAGATAAGACATAGAACAGAAGTTTCAGTGCAAGCTGTGCTCTAGCCAAGAAGCTTCTCAGGCATTCCCTGTCAGGATGGGAACCAGGCCCAGGGCGTGGGCCCCCAGAACCCACTTGTAAAAGCAGGTCGTGGACGTGTCTGCCTGGAAGGGAAAGGGAGGTGGCCTGGGAGGGTGCTGACACTTAAGGAGGGAGGTGAAGGACAAGTGGCAACACAGTGCATAATCAGCCCTTTGCTGATGTGGATTCCATGACTCACCGGCCTTGGTTGTAACACACCCATCTTCCAGGCAGTAAAACCGCCCAGCCAGGGCTGGGAATGAGCAAAGGGCTCCATTCCAGATGATCAGCAAACCTTACATCTCCGTGGGTTATTATAGCTCTGTTCTCGGGTTTCTCCATGCATTAACCCAGAAGGCAGTGTAGAGGAGCTGCTGCTATAAAGGGGTAGAGAGATGCTTCAGTTTAAAAGCTGCCAAATGAACTTATCTACAAAACAGAAACAGACTCACAGACACAGAGAACAAACTTATGGTTACCAGGGGGTAAAGGGGATGGGAAAGATAAATAGGGAATTCAAAAATTGCACCTCTTGGGGAGTGATGGAAATGTAAGCTATCTTGATTGTGGTGGTGGTTTCATTTGTGTATTATGCATCTATCAAAATTCATCAAGTTGTACATCTGAAATACGTGTAACTTACTATACGGGAACCATACCACAATAAAAGTGTTAAAAATAAAATAAAATAAAATAAAATAAAATAAAATAAAATAAAATAAAATAAAATAAAATAAAATAAAATAAGATCAAATCAAATCAAATCAAATCAAATCAAATCAAATCTACTAAATAGCTTGCAATAGCTTGAGATAAAAATCTCAGCTTTCTTTTTTAGGTTTCTCACAGCTCCCCCAAGAGTAGGTCTGTCTGCCAAAGAATGCATTGGAATAAATAATATAAATGAAGATTAATTCAATGAGAAAAATGTAACTAGTGATCATGTAAATAGTTTTGCTCTTTCTTACATATATACACTTAGATAAGTAATAATATTTACATGTATGCATATAGTAAACACAATATGCAATGTAAAATTTATATTGCTTAGGAATTTCTGAGAATTATTCATTGTTTTTAACTCAGTGTTTTGGTCCTTTTTTAAGACAGTAGTACAAATTACTTTGGTTTTACTTTTATTTATATTATGAAATTAGAACAATTTATAGGGAAGAAGAACTAATTAGCCTTAAGATCTCATTTATATCTTTTCATACTCACTTCTAGTCATTCATCTGTTTGTCAGTATGTTTAGTTTTTAAGTTAAATTATTTCATGTATATATTGGCATGCAGTATGATTCACTTAGTGTTTATTTTTAATAGTTTTAGTGTATGGTGAACATTATGTGGTGTATAACAGTGATTATAATTCTCTTATTCTTGACCATTTGGGTTAATAATATTTTTATTTTTCATTATTGAAAATATCATTGGTGTGAACAGTTTTAAACAAATTATTTCGAAGTTGTTTCCTTGGGGCATTTTCGAGTGAGTGTAACAAGTCAAAGGGCAGGAACAGTATTATAGCTTTTGTTACGTATTGCCAGATTGTTTTCCGGAAAGACTGAGCTAATTTGCCAAGCCACTATCAGCGTATAATACACAATCCCAATTTTAGGCAGTTTAGACAGTGTGAGCACACATGAGAAATATAATTACATTTCTGCCCCGAGGCTTAGTTGTATGGATAGCTCTCAAAAGTAAACTCAATACGTGGACTTTGACATTATAGAACTGATAAAGTGTATAGTTAATTTGTTCTTCAGAACGTGGGGCCTTGAAGTTAGGGCTTTGGGGCTGGAGAGCGTGCTGTGCTGAGGTGGAGCCCCCTTTTGGACAAGTGTGGTACTGAGCTCCCTCAAGGCCAGAGCAAAGGGAAGGGAGGACAGCAGTTCCCAGCATTTCTGCCACTGAGGTCATCAGGCCTGCAGGGAGTCTTGGAGGGTGGGGGAGAGTCGGGGGACTCTGGAGTCCGACTGCAGTGAAGGAGGGGGATGGCTAGTGGGTAGACCCCGGCCCTTGGTCATTGAGTCATGTACCTCCTGGGTATCTGCTAACAAAGCCCCTCCTGGTTGAAAATGTCAACTCAAGGGTGTTGGGGTGAGTTTTTTCTGATGGTATTTTAAATTTTATAATGGAAATCGATGGAGTTTAGAGATTCTGTGGAAACCTGTTTTTTCATAAGGATATATTAGCCTAGTCTATAAAAGTTCCTTTGCCCTGCTTCTGACAGAGGAAGAACTTGGACTTTTCCCTGAGAAATATATTTCCCTCATTGCTCGTGCACGCTGACATAGCATGGTCCCTTTGCCAGCCTCTGCAGTGACTTGCAAAAATTCTATAACCCAAATACCAGAATGCGTAACAGCATGTCCTAGAACTGGGCTGGGAGGGGACTGCAGAAGTTAAACATATTCCATACAGCATGCAGTTCAGACAGGCAAAAAGGAACAAGTTAAAGTCGTTGATGGAATGTTTGATTGTCTAAAAATTAATGTGGGTATACATTTTAAAGGAAGTAAATTGAATGGATATTATCATAGAAATTCCAAGTCATAAAGTTAAATGGAGGTTGAGAGATAGAATTGTTTTAATTTTTAGGTCCCAAAGTAGAAATTCAGTCTTGATGGGCAGAGGAGGTAGGAAGCATTCAAAATGCCAGTGGTGGTAAGGGAGAGACACACTGGGGCTGTTATGTGACCTAATTAGGGCTTTATTTATTTATTTATTTATTTATTTATTTATTTATTTATACTGTTAATTGAATTTTTTCTTTTTTGGTGGTAAGATGCATATAACAAAGTTTGCCATCTCAGTCATTTATAAGTATATAATTCAATGGCATTAACTTAAATTCACAATATTATGTAACCTTTGCTCCTATTTCCAAAACTTTTTCATCATCCCAAACAGAAACCCCGTGCTTTAGGGATTTATTTTGTAATTGGTTATCTCAGATTTTTTTCCCCTCCTGGCTTAAAGGAATGCACAGTTCAGATTCTTCATTTTTAGAATTTCCACATATGCTGTACGTTGTTCTGCTAGATATGTGTTGTGTTTGTCAGTTTCCTTTCATCCTTCCTGACGATGCTTGGTTGAAGAGGCTGCCAATCCAAGCAGAGGAGGGAGGGTTATTGTTCTGTTGAGGGCATGTGTTCTATTGCTGAAATCTCCAAATCAGCTCTATTTGTAGGAGGACTCCAGTAGTCTTACTTATGCAATGTATTTGAAAATTAAAGAGCACTATTATATTCTTGACAGTTTAGAAGAGAATTTAAGAACTTGTCATTACTTTGAACACAAAGACGGTGACTATTTTTCCATGTTTCTTTTCAGTCTTTTTTCAGTTGCATGATTTTGGCATAGTTGATAATAATGGATCTGACTTGATACAGGTGACTTCTTTTTTTATCTAACATATCACTTACAGTTTTTTATTTTGCTCAGTAGTCTTCATAATAATGAGCCCAGGAATGCATGTAGCCTGATTTACATAACCACACTACTTTATTTGACATTTAGGTTGCCAGCGTTTGTAACTACTGTAAATGAACATCTTCAGACATCATCTTTCTGTGGTTTAACCCCTTCATTTTATTCTCATGAGAGAAACACAATGCTCACATACATCTTGTTGGGGGCTGTGGCTCTCGCATTTATTTCCATGAAGACTTGGTACAGTTAGTGGTGGTGTGTTTTTGTAGTGACAATAAGTGTCAGATGGATGACAAATGCTTGGTTTGGTTACAGGTTGTGAAAATTTTAGAGAAACACGACCCCTTGAAGAACACCCAGGCAAAATATGGGTCCATCCCTCCAGATGAGGCCAGTGCTGTGCAGAATTATGTAGAACACATGCTCTTCTTGCTGATTGAAGAGCAAGCCAAGGATGCTGCCATGGGGCCAATCCTGGAACTTGTGGTCTCTGAGAACATTATGGAAAAACTCTTCCTCTGGAGCTTGAGGCGGGAGTTTACGGATGAGACGAAGATGGAGCAGCTGAAGATGTATGAGATGTTGGTCACCCAGGCGCACCAGCCTCTGCTGCGCCACAAGCCCATTCTGAGGCCCCTGATGATGCTGCTGAGCTCTTGTTCCGGAACAACCACCCCCACTGTGGAGGGGAAGCTGGTCGTCCTGCTCAGCCAGCTCTGTTCTATTCTTGCCAAAGATCCATCCATTCTGGAGCTCTTCTTCCACACTAGTGAGGACCAGGGGGCAGCCAACTTCCTCATCTTCTCCCTTCTAATCCCCTTTATTCACCGGGAGGGGGCAGTGGGCCAGCAGGCCCGGGATGCTTTGCTCTTCATCATGTCTCTCTCTGCTGAGAACAGCATGGTGGCCCGTCACATTGTGGACAACACCTACTTTTGTCCGGTAAGTCCTTCTTGTTGGCTTGTTTCCCACTCTCTCTCCGGCTAATGATAAAAACTTTTTTTTAATTCCTTTTTTTTGCAGCAAGCTGTCCTGGGCACCTTCTATGAAAAAATGGTTAGAGGAAATCTTTCGGAGGGAGCGGAGGAGTCTAAGTTGAGATGCTGTTTGGCTGAGCAGTGTCAGCTCAGAAGAAGCCAACAGAGGGAACTACATGGGTTACCATTTCTGAGTTCATTCCTGTTAGGTTAGGACCTGTTTTAGTTTTTCTCTAAGAGCATATCCTGAACGATGGGTAAAACCTGCACTTTTGATATTCTTAGCTTTTCAGGTTAATTTTGTGTCAATACGTCGTGGTATATGGTGAGACCCTTCACAGCTGGTTTCTCAAATTAATTTGTTTCCCAGCAAGATAATGGTCATAATTTCAGATCCAAAGCACTGATTTTATTTTAAGAAGTAAATACATGTTTACAGTTTGAGGTAGAAAGAAATACTCTACTCTGTATAGTTTCTTCATCGTTGGTTTGGTGAGAAATAAAGCGTCAGGTCTTTTGCAAATGCTGGAGTGGCCAGGCCCAGACATAGTTCTAGAAGAGAGTGGAAGCTCTCTGAGACTCTTAAGGTGCCACAGGGCTCTGATTATTTTCTGGTGTTAGTGTCGTCTTTGGAAGGGGGATTTAAATGACAGGTTATAGATTTATATCTTTTTCTGGTTTGTCGGATGTTGGGCCACAGCTATTTTAATTTTTCACAACTCAGTGAACATTTCCAGTTTGTTTCCATTGTCTGTTCTTTTTATCAATCATCGCATTATGTTTCCTTATAAACCATATTTCCTTAAATATGCCTGACTCTGTTGAAATAGTGTGTAAGACCATGAGTGAGTTTTGTTGGAACAGGCTAGGCAAGTTGCCATAAGTAGATTAGATTTCTTGTTAATTAACACTATGTGGGTAGTTCTTGACCTGGGGCAAGGGCATTTCAAGGGCATTTTGAAATATCTGTGGTGTGTGTTTGGTTGTCAAGGGACATGGGGTGGCCTGGGAGGGAGGTCAGCTGGCATTTAGTGTGCAGGGACCAGGGGTGTTTAATGGCCAGTAGTTTGAGCGCACACAGTAAGGAACTGACCTGCCCCAAATGCTAATAGCAATCCTAGTGAGTAACGTACTGTATTTTGCTTTGAGGCTCAAAAGCAGTAATCTTCTTTATTTACTAAATTCCTGTTTTTACTAATAAACCAGGGTCACCTAGCGTTTGGTGAATATTTATTTCAAGGGAAACACATGAGTAAAAATTTTGAAATAAAAAATTTCAGTTAAGCTCAGGGTCACCTGCGTCTCTTATCTTCTGGCTTCTGACCGATGGAATAAGAAGTTGTACAAAGATTGAGAGTCCAATGGGCAGTGAAGAACCGATTCCATTCATCTGTGCCAATATATTAAATCTCCCTTCCTTATCTTCTTCAACAGTGCAGAGTTTTTCATAAACTCTCCTTAAAGAATATATCTTAAGGTGAAAATATAACTTCTCACCCTGAATCCAAGCACCTTTGGAATACGGTGCTGTATTAGTTTTCTATTGCCACTGTAACAAGTTACCAAAAACTCTCGTGGCTTTAAACAACACAAATTATTAGTTTACAGTCGTATTGTCTTACTGTAGGTTAGAAGCCCAGCAGGTCTCACTGGGCTAAAATCAAGATGTCAGCAGGACTTGTCTTCTTTCTGGAGGCTCTCGTGGTGAGTCTATCTCCCTGCCTTCTCGGGCTCCAGGAGGCCACCTGCTTTCCTTAGCTCACGGCCCCCTCCTCCATTTTCACAGTCAGCAGTGTCACATCTCTCTGACCATCCTTCTGCAGTCACGCCTCCCTCTCCAACTTTTAAGGACCCTTGTGATTACATCGGGCTTACCTGCATCTTTCAGGACAATCTCTCTATTTAGACAGCTGATTAGCACCCTTAATTCCATCTGCAGCCTTGATTCCCCTTTGTTGTGTAACCTGATCTGTTCACAGGCTCAGGGATTAGGAGGTAGACAGCTTTGGGGGGACCATTACTCTGCCCACCACCATTGCTATATACATTCAGCTTGGAGAGCTCTTGAAGAAGTTTGAGAACATAGCATAATCAGAATGCTTGTAGAAGTTTAATCTGACTACGTAAGTTTGGGAGATGCTGAGGAAGTAGGGACACACATTAGGGTCTAGAAACGAGTGGTGGGAATGAGAAAGAAAAAGAGAAGCTGGGTCTGAGAAGTGATGTGAAGGGAGAAGCTAATTAGACAATGACCTTTTCCATGAGGAGCTGGGCAGAGGTTTGAGTTTGGACGTATTTGAAATATCTTGAGGTGGTTCTGCTGTTAAAGAAGGAGTGCTGGTATTGAGACAAATCAGCAAAATATTCAGGTGGTTCACTGGTCGATATGTACAGGGCCGTTGTAAAAGTTACCATTTACAAAAGCAATACAATTCTAAGATATTTTGAATAAACCTACAAAATATGTAAAAGGCCTTTACAGGGGAATTTATAAAACTTTATTGAAACGCATATAAGAAGACTGAAATAAATGGAAAGCCCTGTAGTTCGTAGGTATTGTGTAGGTAACACTTTTCCTGCAAATCAATCTGTACAGCTAATGCAATTTATGTTTTCAACTTTTTATTATGAAAAAAGAGCAAAATTGAGAAAACTTGGAAGAATACCAAAATGAACACCATATACACACCACTTGCATTCAACATTGTTGATATGTTGTCGTGCTTTGGTATATTTCTCATCTATGCATTTTAATTTTTGCTGTGCCATTTGAAATTAAGTTATAGACATTTAAAGTTGTTACAGACATTTAATACTCTAGTATGTATCTCATGCAAATAAGGATATACACCTACATAATCACAATACCATTACTATTATACCTAAGAAAACTATATAATAATTTCATAATATGATCTAATATCCAGTTTCCCAATTATGCCCAAAATGACTTTTACAGATTTTTTTTCCAAAGTGGAATTCAATATAAGATACATTTCTTTTTTTTTAATGTTTTAAAATTTTATTTTATGGAGGGGGAGGTAATTAGCTTTATTTATTTATTTATTTAATGGAGATACTGAGGATTGAACCCAGGACCTTGTGCATGCTAGGCATGCGCTCTACCACTGAGCTATACCCTCCCGCCACAAGATACATTTCTAACTGTCATGTGCCTTTAGTCTCTTCATCTGTAACAGCCTGCCACTTTTTTCTCTCATGACAGTGACTTTTTAAGAGATGGGCCATTGTCTGTAGAATGTTCCACATTCGGGCTTTGTCTCTTGTGTAGCTTGACTTGTTCCATCACTCATATTTCCTGCAGATTGGAAGTTAGGTCTAAGTGCTTCATTAAATTCAGATTGGATACTTTTGGCACGAGTGGTTTACAGTTGATGCTGTAGGCTTCTTACTGCTTTGCATCAAGCAGCACGTGTTAGGTCGTCCCACCACTGGTCATGCTTTGCTTGATCCCTTGGTTGGTTAAGGTGGTGACCCCTAAATACCTCCATTGTAGAGGTAAAATTTCCCCCTTGTTAATTCTAATATTTAATTTGTGAGGTGTTAATGGGACTTAAAATCCCAATAGGGTTTTTCAAGGAATGTGACAAATTGATGCTAAAAGTAGCTGAGATGATTATGAGTAATGGTAACAATAATGCATTTGTCAAGTACTTACGTTATGCCAGATACTGTTCTTATGTATTTATATATATTAATTCATCTACTCACAACCATAGATACAAGTGTTACTCCCTTTTTGTAGATGAAGAAATTCAGGCACAGAGACCTTAAGTAACATACAAGACTGCGTGGCTAGTAAGAGAGAGAGTCAGGATTTGAACTTGGGCAGTCTGACTCAAGCACCCATGTGCTTAGCCACTGCCTTATACATATGTAATGAAATATAAAATATCAAGACTTCCTATAAAGCACAAATCATAATGAAAAGATTGGAGTTAAGAACAAAAACACAGATTAGGGGAAGATATTTGCAAAACATTTAACAAGTACTCAAAATAGACAAAAATATTTGTCATACTATACATTAATAAGAAAATGATGAAACCGTCTATTAGATAAATGGGCAAAGGGTATGAATGGACAATTCACAGAAGACACCCAAAGCTGATAATTATGTGAAAATATGCTTGTCTTCCTTAGTATCAGGCAATACAAATTGAATCCACAGTGAGACACCAGATAATGCTCCTCAGAGTGGCTAACCCTTAGACATCTAATAAAACGAAGTGCTGTCAAGGGGGTGGAGAAACAGGTACTCTTGAGAATATAAATGGTACAATAACTCAGGAAAGCAATATGGCAATATTTAATAAAACTGGATATTTGCATCCCATGTGATCCTGCACCTTCACTGCTAGGTACCTGCACTTGGGAAATCCGGCACATGTTTACAAGGATGCATGCACAAAGGTATTCACTAGTGATTTGAGGAAGAGAAAGAAATATATTAAGGGAAAGATGAATAAACTGGTTTATTCTGTGTCAATGGAGTATTACTCAGCATTCAAAATGAGTGAATCATGGAGCAACATTCCACTGTATGTATGTACATATATGTATACCACATCTTCTTGATCCATTCATCTGTTGATAGACACTTGGGTTATTTCCGTATCTTGGCTGTTAGAAATAATACCTCTGTGAACATTGGGGTGCATGTATCTTTTTAAATGAGTGTTTTTGTTTTCTTTGGATAAAAATGGAATGTTACTCAGCCATAAAAAAGAATGAAATTTTGCCATTTGGGATAGCATTGAATGGACCTGGAGCCTATTATGCTTAGTGAAATAAGTCAGATAGAAAAAGACAAGCACTGCATGTTTTCACTTATATGTAGAATCAAAAAGATAAAACCAGTGAACAAATATGACAAAACAGAAATAGAGTCACAGATACAGAGAAGAAACTAGTGGTTGTCAAAGGGAATAAGAGTGGAGGGAG